TAAAAAAATGCGATAAATATAAGAATTAAGACAAATATAAGTTTAAATGGGAATACAACGGCATATGCTTTGTGATGAGTGAAGAAAAAATATTTCCCTAAACGCAAGATCGAATGCTTATTCAAAAAAAAAAAAAAAGAAAAAAAAGATCCAACCCCTACGAAAAAATTTTAAAATAAAAACTAAACAAACGTTTAACTTTGTTATAAGACAAAAAAAAATTAAAACTAAAACCAAACGTACAAGAAATCGAACAAAATCAAAAACGCTCTAAAGAAACAGAAAAATCAGAAAGACAAGATTAACTAGAAAGATACGAATTATTTTACTTAGTTCTGAGCGGCCATTTTGTAAGATGGCGTCGGTTGTGTAGACGAAAGGTAAAAATCTATTATACAAAAGCAGGAGATTGCCAATGGTTGCCTGGACGTTTTTATTTAGTGGCTGATTCGGTAGCGCCGAAAGAATACCAAGGCTTTGTTTTACAACCGAACAATAAAAGAAATGAAAATAGAAAAGGAAAGAAAAGAAATGTAAATAGAAAGGGAAAGAAAAAAAAAATGAAAATAGACAAGGAAAGAAACGTGTGCGAGTGAAACTGAACCTGGTCGGAAAATAAATGGAGTTTGAAACAAAGTTAAGATCGAAATAAAAAGAAAAGAGAGACACGGGGAATTATAAAAAAAAGGAAATAGTTTGAAGATTTGAATATAAAGGCACCAGGACATTAATTCTATGGAGAGCAAAAGGCTACGTTGAAGGAAAAGAAAAATGTTACACTATACTCTGGGATTATAGTACGAATAATGATTAGCTATTTCAAGAATTAAATGCATAAGCTTTCTTAGAAAAATATTTTGTAGTATATGAAGTAATGGCGGTGAAAAAGACTACCTGCAAAAATAAGAGACCAATTGATTTACAATGGAATATAACATTTATTAGACAAATTGACAAAAGAAATGTTTGAAGCCATTAATTTTAACTGTTATTATGTGTCATCGTTAAAGTTTATAAAATATTTTACCATAAAATATTAATTCAAAATCCAGTTTCGTGAAAGACATTTTGTTTTTCTCTGAAAGTTACAAAAAGAAAATACTATATTACTTACATTATTTTGACTGTTATCCCCATCTTCAATGCCATATTCACAACGCTTCGGACGTCGTATACTTCGGCCTTCTTCAAGTGATTGGAATCTCGAATCAAACTCTTTATTTCGTCAAACCGAGGTAGATTGTACCAGTTCCACGTGCCATGCCTATTCCGAATGTCTTAGTTATTTCCTTTTAACTTAACTTTCCAAGTTTGGTTCACCACTGCTGTGGCCTGGTATTGAACTCTTTGGGTCTAGTCACTGGATCTAACTAAAGTATTTATCCACTGGGCCATGTGGCCAATCTACCCTGGTGGACGAAATAAAGGGTTTGTCTAATAAATGTAAATCAATGTTGTTCGCATATTCAATGCCATATTATCAATGCGTATGCAAATGTAAACAAATGACGGAGGACGAATATTTTCTATGAAAATTTCTCAGACATTCAGGCTGGTAAATGTTGTTTAATACTGTTTATTATAAACAGAGCATTTACTTAAATACTTGTATCTATAAAAAAACGTTAAACATAAAAATATATTATATATATATATATATATATATATATATATATATATATATATCGCCACGATTATAGATTGTAGATTTTGAAGATATGTCGGATAGAAACCGTTGACCCTGAGAGTGAAGTGTTTAAGTTTTTAGTGATGGAGGAAGCATCCAGTCGGGTGTCTATTCCACAAAGTATATTGAACCTTGAAATGGAACACGAAAGGGATGAGGGTAGTTATTTGCTGTGTACATGACATAGTTAGTCTTAGCTTTAAATGTTTTGAAATGGTGGAATTAAAGCATGTATCCCGTCAGAAAATTTAAAACGGAGAAGTTAAAAAAATAGGCTTGACGGAATTGTGCGTACTAAATACTTTTCTTTTTGAATCGTTTATCACAATATCTTTTCTATCTACATCAATTTTCCTGTTTATTAAAGACATTTTTATGTTTAATTTACTTAAATACTTGTATCTATAAAAAGAATGTTAAACATAAAAATGTCTTTAATAAATGTCCATTTCTTAATGTATGACGTCATTTGTTTACATTTGATACGCCATGAGCAGTTATGAATGTACGAGATTCATGGAAGATTGAAGTTTATAAGCAGTAAATTCGACCTTGCCTACCAAACGCTCCTTTGTGGCCGAGTCGGTTAAGGCACGTCAGCGTAAATGACGGTTCCGTATAGGATGCAGGTTCTTAATCCTGTCAAAGGACTAATATATTCTATGAAAATTTCTCGGACATTCAGGCCGGTAAATGTTGTTTAATACTGTTTATTATAAACAGAGCATTTACTTAAATATTTGGATCTATAAAAAGAATGTAAAAACATAAAAATGTCTTAAAAATAATTGTCTGACTTTGTCCATTTCATAATGTGTGACGTCATTTGTTTACATTTGAATACGTATTGAGCAGATATGAATGTACGTGAGAAATTCATGGAAGATTGTAGTTCAAAAGCAGTAAATTTGAACTTGCTAACCGAACAATCCTCTGTGGCTCAAGCGATTAAGGCACGTCAAGCTATAGGATACAGGCTCGATTCCTGTCGGAGGACGATTATTTTCTATGAAAGTTTCTCGGACATTCAGGTCGGTAAATGTTATTAATACTGTTTATTATAAACAGAGCATTTACTTGGTTTTAAACAAGAATTCATTGTTTTTTTCCAGGTTTTAAACAAGAAAATCTTCGCGAACCAAAAACGAAATTGTATTGGGTATGATGTTTCTTTTTTTTATTATCCTTGTTTTGTTAAAACCTTTTTTTAAAACCTTTTTTTCCCTCGATTGATTTGATTATTAACAAATCAAAAATTCGAGGGTTTTTCGAAACGAGTCTAGTTATCTATCTATCTATCTATCTATCTATATATATATATATATATATATATATATATATATAGTTTATGCAAACTTAGGTAATCCGTATGGGTAGACCCGAGGAGGATGATATCCAGAGAGCTCAATGTAAAATTCAGAGCAGATATGTTTGAATAAAAAACAGACCACGTTAAGATTCCATGTAATAGGCTATTTCACCATAACCCCTTTAACAGGGCTCTGGATCATCAGACTTTAATTCCAAAAGTTGAAATGAAAATGAAAAGAAATATATATATATATATATATATATATATATATATATATATATATATATATATATATCAAATATGGATTAAAACCGACAGATTGATTCAATAAGTTGCAAAAAAAAAAGGTTTACATTATTACTGCTACGATTTTATTTTAGCTTCCTCAGAAAGTGTTGGGAAATTTCTTTATGAACACTTAACTCAATAATTAAATACTAATCAGATAAGCCAGTTCATGCCCAATATTCTGCCCGTACCAAATAAGCTGATGTAGAAAAATCCTGTAGCCATCAGTGGTTATATA